TCTCTCTTTGTGAAGTAGCCTGCGCTCGCGGATTTATTAGTTTCGGTCGATCGATCTCAAGCCGTGCACTGTGCAATGCGCTCGAATTGCTTAGTCGCTCGGTGAATCTTGCGCCAGCCATCTTCGGCCAGAGTTATAATGTTCTATTTCAGGTTGGTGAGATTATGTTTGTGCCTATGTAATCTTGAAACAATTTCTACGTTTGAGCTGGAGTGGGGACGTGGCAGTGATTTTTGAAGCTGTGTCGCGGTTAGTACTACTTGAACTATATGAATGAATATGAAACAGAAGAAAGTTGTGACTTTGCAGCCGAACTGGTTTCGAAGCTTGTGGTTATGAGACTGCGGAGAGTAGCAAGTTGGAAATGTTTTATCACCATATAAGTGTTACAAAATATCTTCATTCTTGCTGATTGTGTGACCATTTCTCATGAAGCTGCAACATGATTGGTGGTGATAAATTTGCCAAAAGGAACAACCCTGGGAAGTCGAGTGTCGGTGTATACGTTGGAAACACAATGTCTACATACATTGTTGTTTCCTCCTCTTCTATATATATATTCAAGTTATGTAAGGTTTTGTATATGGTGATAAAACATTTCTCGTTTGCTATGTTTCTTGTTCTGTAACACAACACCAGAAGAAGAACTGTGGTCAAAGACGGTCCAATACTTCCAGTCATAGCCCATAAGGCATAGCTTATTAAGCCCGCTTTCAAGCTTTCATCGTACCTGCGATGGACACGTGTAAGCACGGAATGCTTGGCAACCATCTGCATGAACTGATACTTGTTCATCCTATGATGAATCGACGCGTTGATTATTATTCTGGCTAGGTTCGCTCACCAAAGTTGGCCATGGCGGTAGTAACCGAGATCATCGGAGCCATTTGGCTTGGTAAGCGCCACTGCACTCTACCCTGTCAGGTGACAGTTCCGAGCCTGCCGCTCACCTTTTCTGTCAAGGCCTCTAGCTCATTCTCGTCACATCATTTGGAATCACGAATGCGTTTATAAAGCGCACCCTTAAGTCTATCAAAATTATCAAGTAGGATGTGGCGAAGAGGAGGGTGGCAGCTCGTCTTCTTCAGGCTGTCAGGAATCAAGCTGTGCCAGGCTAGGTGCATGTGCCGCAAATGGCGAGAGCAATTAACGATCCCAGCTTGTGCCAAGGCTATGCGCCCCTCACCTCTCGCTCTCCAATTAAACCTTAAAATTGGTTTAAGACCAATGTATTAAATTGGTTTAGAGGTTTGCAAACCAAACACTTGTCTCCCTGGGGCGTGGTAAGCCACAAGCTCTGGAAGGATAGTGGGGGATGGGAGTGTGGGCAGCTGAGGTCAGAGACTTGTCTGTCTCCTTAGTCTAATTCTTGGCAAAGAGCTAGACTAAACAATAAACAGTGTTAGATTTGTTGAATGAGCCCCTCCAGGATTCAGTTTGATATCGGCCTCCCAAGAAGAAACCACCACGTACGGCATCCCAAATAGCTCCCTTTTGCTAAGCAGTAAACCCAATTACGTTGGAAGCAAGCAGCTGCACCAGGCTCTGGAGGAGCAACCAACGATGCTCTACCGTGTACTCTCCAACTTGAGGACAGCTTCTTGCAGGATCATGTTCATCCAGGTCATTTCCTGTGACGGGACAGACCTGGCATGGTCATGACGTTGCAACACTCCGGATTTTCCTGGTAGTAGAGTTTGAGCGAAGAACTCCACAGGTCTTTAAAGAACCAAGTAATGTCGACGTGAAAGCTTGGGCTGTGGGTACAAGCATTGGTCGACTGAGCTCGATGAACTCAATCATGATGCATCTGGCGTCCACTTTTTGCAGAAACAAGAGTGATTTCGTTGTAAGTACTTGAAGATAGAGTGGGCTCTCAGAAACATTTGGTGAGGACGCCAATCCTCCTGATTGCTCTGGTCACTACTGACTTGAAACGCTTGACATTAGAATACTTGACGCTTCTCCAGGCAAGTGTTTATTGAAGCCTGTAAAAATTAAAAAAGAGAAAGATCAACATTAGCCCAGTGCCAAAAAAACAGCAATTTTTTTCTTTTTTGCTCCATACAAAAAAATTCTATAAAAAAACAAAACAAAAGAATCAATAGTGTGAGAGTGAGTGCCTCGGGATAGAGAGGACACAAGCATAGCTTCAATCCAGCCATTAAGTTATTTCAACAGCATGCATTCATGATATTTTGGCAGTTGGAGATTGTTAGTGTTAAAGTTTGGATGTTAATTTAAAAGCATAAATTTACCAATGGATTTAATTTCAAATTATATTTTTGCTTAAAATTTTTTTAATTTATGTTGCAAGTGAAATGTAATTTTTGGAAAAGTACCTTTTAACAAAAAAAAGTAAATTTTTTATATACCTTTCATAATATATGCAAAAGTAAAATACATAATACACACACATCTTTTTATCTTTTCATATATATAAAAGAATGTTCCCAAATATTATAAATGTTTAGGGCAAACAAAGCAACAGAACTAACCGTGATAGAAAGGGGAAGAAAGGTAAATTATTTTTATTCATTATAGTATAAATAAAATGATATTTTAGTGAAAGATTAGTATTGTTATTACTAGAAAGAAAAGAGAAAGGATACATTCACAACTCCAAGCATATAAATATATGAAGGATGTATAAAACAATGTTCTAGAAATGAGTAGTGGTGGAAAACATATCTAGGTGAATTTATTTTTACATTTTCATTTGATAATTGATTGTGAATATTTCAAGCTTAATAAAGCTATAGCAAGCTTACCCATTCTGGGCATAAGCACCAAATATCAAGTTTCACAAAATTTGTAAGGTTCGTAAATGCTGATGAACACTTGCTATTTTTAATTTGCACACTATTAGCGTGAATTATGGTTAGCTCGGGTTATCTCAGAAAATATATACCCTTGCAATATGAATTTTCATTACAAAACGATACAAAATTTGAAATATGTATAAAACTTCATCTAGAGACTCTAGATGCACTAATGTTCTATATAAAAATGTTCAAGATTGTGAGGTTGTCAATTGAAAATGTTCCAAATGTGATTGTGGGTATTTCCATATTAAATTTACTAATCTTTTCATTGTATAGACCAAGGCTACACTTACCCCCCTTTAGAGATATTAATGTTTTTATTGATTATTGATTAACAATCTTTATTGAGCTAAAAGCCTCATTCAAATATATTAATGTTTTCATTTACTATTAATTAACAACTTTTATTGAGCCAAAGACTTCTACACTAAATCTACCAATTTTTCCATTGTGTAAACTAAAGTTATATTCACCCCCCTCCCCCATGAAATCCAAATCTAGACTTGCTGGTCACAAATCAAGGCCATGAGTACATCCCTTTGTTTAGTGATCAATTGTGGGATGAGGAAGTTAAAGCAACGCCTGACTTATAGCCGACGAAGTTTGAAGCTTGCCAGCGCCATGGCTTAAGCGCCCAGGCTATACTCCGCTCGACGTCGACTCTAACAGCTTAACTCGAGCTCCATCGCATCTCCAAGCAAATCTCTCCTGATCCAGGCGCTCATCAATTAGGGATCCGCTTTAAGGATGTGAGATTGCTTTCAGGCGCGACAGGAACAACTCCAGCGCTCGAAGCTTGGAAGCATTGGTGGAAGAGGGACTAACTCGCCAAGTAGTGGTAGCCGTGGAGCGTGCCCACGGAAAGGTTCCCATCTCTATGTGAGGAATTTGCGCGGTGCCCCGACTGTTGTAAACTCTTCATCTTGTTGGTAGAAATTCTTGATATTGTACAAAAATTTGAGGCATGGTAAAGAAAACTATAGGTTTTCATCTGAAAACTTAGGACTTGGCGGCTTATGATGATACCAAACTCGTTTTGAAGCTTGTTGATTGTGAGAGGTGTAGTGCCTGAGGAAGAAGTATAAAAGAGAAGCATTAAGTTGCAAATGTTGTATCACCATCGCCACGGTGGAAGTGTTGCAAAATCTCCTCAAATGAGAACATGATTGTGTGGTTTTCACGTGCTGCAACACGCAATATGTTTGACTAGCCCACTAGGCATTGGCAACCACTTGTAGTATTCTTGCCTTTGCATTTGACTCATACTTTTCGACTGAGTCGAATGAAGACTACGATTTGTCAAGTTCATCTTCCAGACAACTGAGAGTAGGGAACAAGCCTAACTCAAGTGAGCTGGGACTAAACTCTCCAAGCCAGACAAAAATGAAGAAACATGGAACTTACGGGTTCGAAATCTTGACAAATCTTAGTCTTCGTTTCTGGAAACATGAGGAGTCAAATGCAAAAACTCCTGATAACTACAAGTTTAGATTTTAACTGCTTTGTTGTTTTAAGGAAGAAGATTGTAAGCATTTGCCACTGCCTAGTGGGCTAGTCAATCACTACACCGCGTGTTGCATTGCATCTCCTAATAAATTGCCAGCGCTCGCAGAGATGGGTCTACAAAACCAGCAAAAATGAGGAGATTTTTCAACACTATCATCATGGCGATGTTCATACTACTCCATTGGGAACTTCACTTCTCAGGTGCTGCTCGCCTTCTCTTTGATAGTTCTTCATCACCACTCACAATCAACGAGCTTCGGAATGACCGGAGAACACTTGTGAGAAAGCCAGAGCAGCAGAATCCTAGTAAGTTTTCGCATGAAAATCTTTAGTTTTCTCTTTACCACTTCTTTCAAGAGTTCCGACCGCGGAATCCTGGACAACCCCCCTGTTGCAACCCATAATTTTAAATAATTTGAGCTGAGTTTGTTCTGTTTTTCGTCGCGACCCGATAGCTAGCGAGCACATAATTATTGTCTCGCTCGAGCCCTCCACGTCCATCAATGTGGGCTTGGCGAAGATTTTGATACTACCAACTTACCCACGTTAACTTTACCGCGATCAACGAAAGGAGTAGACGACGCGAGAAATCTGCTACAACAAGTTTTTAGTAAGTTTTCGTCTGAAATTACCATCGCTGCAGATTTCTACGAACAAGGAAACGTCAAGAACTGGCCAAAGATTAAAGAAACTTATTTGCAATGTGTATAAAACAATGAAGGAGAGCTCCTGTACAGCTTTAGTCCCGGAATGGAAAAAGCACTTATCTACAACACTACCATACACGCCAGGCTCGACGGTGGCTGGCCATCATCCCTAGGCACCACGAAAGTCCGGGCCTCATTCGCCACTCTCCAAAACCTGCATGTCAAAAACGCTGCACCGCCCGGCGATGGACTCCTCACAAGCGCTGGCTCCACGTAAACCGCCTGCGTTGTGTGTTTACTAAGTACACAAAACACCACCTCCACCTCGGGCTCGTAGAAATCGGCCACCGCGACGCATCCCACCGAGACATATCCGGGTGGAGCTCGGGGCCTCCAGATTGTGAGAGGGGACGGGCCTTGCTCTCGCCAGACCTGTGAAGTTTGAGAAGTTTAGAGACCTAGTCCTGTGTAGGATAGTTTCTTTTACCTGATCAAAGCCTTGAGGATGGAGGAAGATCTGGTCGGAAAGAGGATACACGAGCACGCTCTCAGGCTGGTCATGAGCAGCGTGAGCGACGTCTCCAACGGTGGCATATCTACAAACCAGAGGAGTCTTAGACAATAAGAAAGAAAGAAAAGAAAAGAAAGAGTGTCATGACTATCACTCACCCGGACAGACAGGCCGGTCGCCAAATGGACATGGGATTGGTTTCACCATCGGGATCACCCTGTTAGAGAGAAACTTGTGAGCACGAAAAGAAAGCGGCCAAGATCCACGTACCTGGTTCGACCATATGAGATCAAAATCGCTGATGAACCTCCCGGCTCTTGGAGAACCAGTGGACGAGCCTTCGTCGATGCTCAAAACTTTGTCCGTGGCAGCATCGGACTCTTTTGCTAGAAGCGAGCTCCGGTGCGCGGAGCCAAGCAATGCACCAAACGTAGCCAGCATTGGTATGGAAACCGGGGCTGCAGGCCCGGCTAAAAGTCCGAGTGCAGGAGCCGCGCTTGAACTAGATCCTGCGTATGGTCTACTTCCTGGCTTTAGCTTCATAGTCTGAAAATCTACTATAAGAAAAACAAGGAAGAGAAGTAGAACACACTTACCTCTGAACGAATAGCGGCGCGTTCAGGTCCGAATGTTTCATACGCTCTTTGGATTGATGCCATTATCTCCGCGGCCTGATTGGTACCAGGATGACACTTCACGACACGCATAGTTTCTCTCGTGTCGAATATGGAGGTCTCCTGGCTGGATGTCCGAAGGTGCAAGATCAACCGCGATGGTTTAGGCTCATGCGGCTCCTTGGTTTCCTGCTTGCCGATAGCTAGCTCCATTGTCATGAGTTCTCCCCATGTCACGTCCCAGACAATAGTGCACGGGTTTTTTAACAAGTCGGGCTTCTTCTGCACCAGAATGCCAGTCGGATGCTGCAAAACAAGAAGTGAGGAGTCGACGAAGAGAAAAAAAGAAAGAGCAACTCGTTCCGTTACCTGCAACAAGATCACTCGCCGATGAGTGATAATCAGTGTACGAGCTTTAGGAAGATTAAAGTGGTCCTCGTATGCATCTGATGCCGCAAATTTCCCACGAATTTTAAAGATGTCTACGGGTCCAAAAAGAGTTCCTCGTTGGGCCAGTTGCAATAGCACCTAAGGAAGCAAACGTTTCGTATATAAAGTTTGCAAAGAACCTCAAGAATACCTGTCCTTGAGCTTTGTACTCATCGTATGGGCGGAGAATGTTGTCACCGCCAATAACTCTGGGCAAACGACGACGCCGGAGCTGTTCCTCGGACGTGAGAACAGCTGCCAGCTTCATTCTCGTAGCATTGGCTCCTTCAGTAGTTTTCGACAGCAGGTCAAGCACGCCACTCATCGGCTGCACTGCTGCGCCGATAACTCCCTTCCCAACACCTTGAAGAAATCCCTCCACTCCCGCCGATCGAGCACCTTCCAGTGGCTTTGTTAATATCCCGGTCACCCCCCTGAAAAATCCTTTGGCAAGGGCCTCGCCACCTTCACGAATACCATCACCTATGTCTTCTACTGCCGCCTTTGTCTCCTGAAAAATCAAGTGGAAGTTGTAAGTTGTGAAGAGTGAGAAACTTTGGATACGTACATGCTTTTGACGGCTCCGGATAAACTTTTTATCCATCGAGAGTGCAGCAACGCCTTTGCTCATGTGTCCCAACGCGCTGCTCGCATTTCCCAAAAGATCCACACCAGATAATAGCTTGAGAGGTTGACTGAGCATATCGTTACGAACACTTGCGATTGCAGCTGCAACCAGCGCACTTTGGCTCATGCATATGTTTTCGTGGACATGAGGCGTAATGCGAACCTAGAAGCCATGAATTAGCTCTTTCCTGCTGTACACAAAGGAAAGAATAAAAACAGCGTACCGGCATATCATCGGTGTTGCCAAGGGAAGTAAGAAGCGTGGACCAGAATCCAAGAACTCCGCGAGGCCGCTGTGTTGGAGACATTGCTAAGGTCACCTTGAAGCGTATCTCCGACGTATTCAGCAGTCTGTAAGTGCAAAATATAATAAGGAACACAGGCTTGAGAAAAAAAGCTGACACTATCTTACCCAATGCTAATAATCGGATCCAGAGCTACAGCAGTCGTCTGGCTGCTTCTTAACTGTCCCAAGTTTAGTCGGGTGAACATTTCATGAAGCCGCCAGATGATTGGTTCGTGAATATTCACCAAAAATGAAACGTTTGGAACGTTCGGACCCTGAAATTCTCAGTATAAGCAACCAAAAAAGCATGCAACACGAGTAATACCTGGATGCCGATGTATGGGTAAACCTGCTGATCCGACAAACTGTTCTCCTTCAGAGTCACTGTAAACTTCAACAAGAACTCGCAATTCTTTGCAGTGTCCTGAGGCGAGAAAAGCACAGGCATGGGAGTCAATGGCAGCTGATTATCAACTTGGAGGCCGTCCACTTTTACTTTAAACCTGTAAGCAGACCATTAGAAGAGATCCAACTTAACGAACACAAAGTTACCTGCTGATTTGCGATCCAAGTCCTGTAGAATATGAAACAAAGAAGTTTATCACGGACAGGTAGAGGAGTTCCTCCGGAGTGTGATCAACAATCGACAGTCCAAGCTCGGCCAGTTCTATTGACGTGTGGAACTGGTTCTCCGCTTGGCTAGTTTGAGTTCGCTCGGGAAGCTGAGTGGAGGATGATGACACAGGAACAATACTCATGTCCTCGGGTCTTGTGATCGAATTGGTCACGGAAACCAGGTGAATGGCACCATCACGATGAACCTTAACTTGCAAAACCGGACCCGGACTACTCGAAGTAATAAGCTGATGAGTTCTGGCTTCATCAATTTTGTACGTCTGTGATGAATGCGGATCCGCTCCCTCGACGTTGATCTCCAGCATGCGAGGGAGATCAAGATCCTCCCATGCAAACGTATCACAGCTCCCGGCTGGTAGATGTTGCCAGGATTCAGAAGATGTACCTTCCTGTCGATAGTTGATTGAGACTGTGGACTTGTTCTCAATCCTGGGAAAGCAATGTAAATAGAGGAAGTTTTGACAGTAGAAAGGCTATACCTGTATGGCCCATGAATTGAAGCGTATCGAAAAATGACCAGCTGCGAGGCATGCCTAGATCCGCTTCGCACCTCTATGCGAATATAGAGTTTGGAGCTGCCGTTTGTACTTGTTAGTTTCAAGTGTGTTGTTCCAATAGTCTCAATGTTGAAGGGCGGGCTCCATTTGTAGCCCTCGAGATAGACCTGCATTTTAAATTCAGTACAAAGCTTGAAAAGTGTGACCTTTCCGTGTTGGCATACCTTGAGAAGTTCAGGCTCATCATTTGTGCGCCAGACAAATGTTTTTGGAGTTTGATTGGGATATAGAAAGTCTTGAGCTTGTATATCACCTTGACGAATCTGTAGCCTTTTGCCAAGCCTGTTGATGAACACTGAATGAGGCTGAAAACGAACAACCTGCACATATTTAAAGCCGTGAGAAAACTTCAACGGATTTTCCGTCTAAACGAACCTTGGTTCTCTCAGATGATAGATCCAAAGTGGTTGTCAGCTTTACATATCCACCGTTTGAATCGTATGCCTTCACAACTATCAGATCCTTCTGAAAACAGTCCAAATGCATTTATAAGAGAAAAAAAACAGAGAAGAAGAAACTACTTACATTATCCTCCAATTCTCTGAACGAAAAGCCGTATTTGAAGTTGTCGCTGTCTGCAGCAGACACAGCTAGCCCAATACGAGGCGAAAGCACGTCCTCCACTCGAGGAGTATTCGGGAGTGGACCTAGTCGGTCCAGTTGAGCGTGAGGCGAAAGCATGAGCGGGGCAGGAGAGCTTTCTATGACATCAAGAACGCGAGTAACGGGCAGCATCCTTGCTTTTCTTGCAGGTGTAGCCAGTTTAGAATTCCTCGTGCCCTTCGGTGTAGAAAGAGGCTCCGAGCTTTCGACTTCAACCACTCTATAGGCCAGTGGTAACCCGGTATCGTTGGATATCCAGTATGGCACGAGTAAACGCACGGTTTTAGCAGCCAGAAGTGAGCTTCCAAAGTCATACTCCAGGCTTACGCGTAGCCTCCTGCAGGATACCATTGTTTAGAACACACGCTATAAAATCCTGACGCACCTGTTGCTAGCATGATGCACCATCCAGAACCCAAGAGGAAGGTCTTCAGACTTTGGATCAAAAATAAGGACGCCTTCCTGCAAGGCAAGCTTATTTCGAAAATAAGACTTAAGAACATAGAAAACGTACCTTCTCTGGTCTCCAGCCACCTTGTGGCAGCCACGTCAAGAAGATCTGCCTCCTTATATCCGCAGCGTAGACACAAACAGAGTCACCGGCTGAAGCTATCCCATGCTGCCGTTTGACCGGCCTGGCCTCATTTATCTTCTCCCAGATTATGTACTCTGCGTTGCAAGGCAGAAGGTTTTCCAGCCGCAAGGGTGCGTTCACTGATAATCTCCAGTCGTAAATTTGAGTGTTCAAGTCGCCAGACAGGATAGTAGCATCCGCTTCCATGCTGAGCCAGCAATGGCCTTTTGAGCTTGTCATATCAGCCGTGACGCATAGTAGCAGCTGTTCTCTTTTCTCAAGGTGGCCCAACGTGAAATCCTGTGAGGAGATGTTGCTTTTACTCTGCTTGATAGACTTTCTTGGCGTGGATGAGTTCGCAGCAATGGGATTTGGATCGCTTATTAACCGACCCCACAGATAACTTCCGCATGTGTCTGTCACCGGACGAACTTGAGCACAGTAATCTGCCTGACGAGCAGTGCTTGCAAGAGGCAGCTGGATGGACGACCCCGGTTGAATCACTCCCACCACCTCTCTTTTGTGCGCCTTCTTGTTGTCTGGTACACGTTGTCTAGTGCGGATCCAACGTCGTCGTCGAACAAAATCGAAAGTGGACTTCCTCGATGCCTTAGAAGAAACTGGCAGCGTCCTTAAGCTCTGGAAGTCCGGACCGTAGAACCAGCCGTCTTGATCTACGTTTCCAGAAAGATCCACTGTCCAGTCTGAAGTCCAAATCCAGCCCGGCGGCAGCTGAACCTTTAGTATTTCCTACAAGAGGATACACTCAAGTCAGTTCAAGCAATTCTACAAATGATCGACTTTGTACCTGAGATGATTGAGTAAAATCTCGCGTACTCCACCTTCCGGGATCGGTCGGAATAAGATGTCCCGGCCATTTGCTTCCCCACCCTGCTAAAGGTTGATATCTTTGGTTCTCAAAGCATTCTTCGTCAACACGAGTAGAATTGTCTAAAGATGTAGCGCCACCATCTGTGTCATTCGGCGTATGGAGCAGAGAATATGGGCATATAGCCACTTCCAACGCCATGTCTGTGTTGTTTGCGACGATAACCAAACTCCGAAACGTAGCATGCTTTCGACCCTGATCCATCGTTACGTCCACAGCAACTTGTTGCTCACCAACTGTTTTGGGAATTGTTGCGAAAGGTAGCACGCACCGCAAGCTTTCCCAAGGACCATCAGGACGGCACGAAAACAGCAGGCCATAGTCTTTCGTCGGCAGTTTCTCATCCTTGTCACGTCGCCAATCTGGTGCAGTAGAGAAGAAGTAAAGCTGAACAGCTATGTTGCCACACTCTTGAGACTGCAACTCTGCAATGTTTCCCTGCACAGCCAACCATTAGCTAAACTAGCATTGGAAATGTCAGCTGTATATACCCGCTTTCGAGGCGGTCTCAAGGAGAGAATTTTGGCTTGAGCAGCTGGCCAGGATTCTTGACTAATCGACTGCCTGACCATTTTCCACAACGTCGAAGGTTGAGATACTTTATGACTCGCTTCTTCTTTCACAGGAAGTGAGAGAATACCGACTGCCTCTCCTGCAAAGAGTAATAAAACATATGGTACTTCAAGTAACAACGAAGAAATTACCTTTTCCACTTCTAGCAGCTTGATTGGTAATAACCACTTCCAAATTCACAGACCCCTGTGTGCTAAACAATCAATACTGTAAAGAAACAGTAATGAAATTACTTACCTGTGACGGAACTTCAAAAATGAAAACTTCATTCCAGCTTGCTGAAGCCCGGGACAGGGACTGCACGTCATTTGGACGCACGCAACGAGATCTAGCACTTTGTGGGAGCGCTTTCGGATCTTCAGGTAGCTGCTTCGTAGTCACTAAACGAAGAGCACACAGAAAATCGGGACAATTACCATCGTCATTTACCAACAAGCCCTGCATCGAAAAGCCGTTAACAATGTAGATAACAAAATAATGTAAATTACCTTTGCTTCAAGCACGTGAACTGCGACAAATTGCCGGGATGGTTTTTGAACCCCGCTTGCCAGCTTGTCGGGAAAGCTAGGGGGTGGCAAAGGAATAATGGAAGTTTCTCCTTCTTGCAGCACTTCTACATTCTCAAAGCCGCTTCGGAAAGTTCTCAGGTAGAGCTCAGAAAAGAGCATATTTTGAACTACAAGCTTCTCACTGTCATCTTCCTCCAATGCAGCTTTGCCCGTCATTCCTGCTTTGTAATCCGTTTTCTCCTATCATCACAACCATACGCAGTCAGTGTATGTATTCCATCAAAAAAAAATTAAATTATACCGTCCTCATCGCGCTTAGCGCCTCTTGTTCCGACTCGGTTTGCTTTTGCCAGACAGCCATAGCTCCTATCAGAGCTTCCAGGCTAGCAGATGTAATATTAATGCTGACCGTGCTGGCTGCGGTGATTCGAACACGTCTACCAATCTTTAACGTTGCATCCGAATCCCCACCATAGAACTCGTATCTATAGCCAAACACAGAAACAAGCACGTTAAGGTCATGGCTAGAAACTTATAAAAGGTGTCACATACTTCAGAATGCCATCAAATGGTTCAATCAGTGGTTCCCAAGCATCAAGGCTCGCGTTGAACGTGGACGCAGCAATCGATGTCAATGCCACGGCATTCAGAGCATCCGGTCGACCATGGGCTGCTAAGTTGACACCGGTTAAAGTCGCATTAACAAGAGGTGTTGCCTGCAATAACAAAGTTACTAGTGTTTTCAAACAGTATATAAAAAACTGCGCATACCATGCCAGAAAGATCGTCAACGACAGTAACCGATAAACGTCCAAGTTTCATTTCGGCAGTCAGGTTTTCTCGGACTTTAGGCCGTCCAGTTTCGGCAAGGAAGTATGCCATCCGCACGAGAGGCTTTTTCAAGTCAGCACGAGCAATGAAGGTGCTAGCCTGCATACGAAAAGTCGTGGAATGAGCCAAGATGATATGAGATCTTGAAGATACCTGGTTCTCCACTTTCCACAAGCAGCAGCTGTGACCACCACGGCTGCCTATATAGCTCCACACTGGACGCTTGGAAAGACTTCCTTGACTCACAAGATCCATACGAACGCACCGGACCATATCAAGTGGAGGATGATCCGGCGTTGTTGTTGCAACACATCCCAAGGCAACATAGCCCGCCGGTGCGACTGGATACCAGATGTACACATCTTCAAGGCCTCTCCCACAAATGTGAACCTTTTGCTGGAAACGAATGGGTTTACAGAGACGTCCTGTGCCATCATCGCGTAAAACTAATCCAATGCCTGGTGGCTCGAGCCTGAAAAACAAAAGGAAACGTTAAAACTTTCTCTATGACTGAAAGACTTCACGTACCCGTCAACGATGCTGTCGCCAACAATTGCATACCCGCTGGCTGGGATAGGCCGCCAAATCGAAACTACGCGTCTGGTTTCCGTGCCTCTGTCCCACCAAAGCCTTTCAAACTGCGGAGTAGTTAAGGAGTTTCTGCTAGCTCGTGGTGCAGGATGAGGCGTACGTTCCACCACTTTAACTTCGACAGCGTCGTCCGTTCTCTCGGTCGGACTACTCAAGTGATTCAGAACTAGGTGACGCAGGTCGCACAACATATCCTTTTGTGGTGGATTAACAGAAGAGCGTGCAAAGAAGGAGCCAATCGTGTTGTCTACACGCCAAATGCTGCAACCATCCGCATAATCCCTTCACAGGAAACACAAAAGTTTAGCTTCTTCACCGAAAGAAAGAAACAAGACTCAGCTAAATACCTGTCACCAGGAGGAATGCACAGAACGCAGTCAGTGACTGCACTCGATGTCAAAAGGTCCGATCTGACGCAGTGGACAGTATTTAAAGAGGGAGGAGAAGTTCCTCGCTCGGCCACACAGCCAACGGCTTTGTATCCTGGCGGCGCAACCGGGAGCCAAACACAGCATGGTTCTTCATTCAAAACTGAGTTGCTGGAATTCCCATACGAGCTCCAGACAAGGTCGAACTTTAAAGGCTTTTTAACTCGATGGTGAGAATTGAAAACAGCTACAACCCCTTGAGACGGGGGTGCCGTCCTGCAAATGCAAAAGATCAGTACATAATTTTTTTTCTCGCCACGAAGAATTACTCACCCCGAGGTTACACAATCGCTTAATATCACGTAGCCAGGAGGAACTTTTGGCCTCCAGAAAGTAACTTCGGGCGAAGAAGTATTCCCTGCGGTGATACGAAAGTTAAGAACAATAATTAAATAAAGACCAGCTTAAACCTGGTTTGTTCACCCATATTCGGTCAAAATGGGTGCAACGATGTATGACTCCGCGATCAAGATGGAATCGTGCAACAGCATCACTGTGCAAACGCATTACCAACCGCATAACGTTGAAAGAGGGCCGCAAGAAAACGTCTGATGCGGTGACTAGAATATTGGACTTTCCTTGGGCACAGACGTACTCGGCAGAAATATCGAGTGGATCTAATATCATGACTCCCGAGCTGTTTTCTACACTTAGTCCCTTCACAAAACTCCTCACCCATCTGTTTTCACCTTTCAACGCGAACCTGTAAGACTAGCATTAGCGCAAGAGGAAAAGAAACAAGCAACCTACATAAGGTTAAAATCCATTTTTGCTCTCAGGAGTTTTTCCTGCCGGGACAATGTTGTAGACGATGGCCATTTTGTGCTATCGTAAAATGTCAGTTCCGGTGCTACAATCTGCTAGAAAATATGAGCAAACACGAAAAAGTTCAAATGCATATACCTGTACATCCAGAAGAAAGTCCTGGTTGGAGTCCCCACGATCGTCAAGTTTTGGGCTCCCTGGATCTGTTGCTGACCCTCCATCCACTACTGTCGTGATCTTTTCCTCGTTACTTACAAATGTGACACCATCTTCTTCATGAAAACTGTAGCTAGCACCACTTGCGAGTTTGATGCACTCGTGAATACGCGCTCCATTCTGCAGATGTGTTGGTAAAAAAAAGTAGCACAGCACATCTATACCTTGATTTTAACATTTTTGAAACGCAGCTTCTTCCCATGTCCAACAACGATAACAGGTTCTGCGTTGGCACCAGCATAATCATCTTCAACTTGTAACTCCAGCACCCGGTCACATCCGTCGTATAAAAACTCTTGGATGTGAACTGCATCAGCAATAACTTGACGCTCCGGTGATATTATCGACATTGGCTCTTCTTGCCGATAATGAGAACTAACAAGCCTGACGTGCTTTGCTGTTGCGAGTGGATCTTTTTCTTCATCACCAGTTGATGCCACCGCCGATGGGACAAAAAACTGGCTGACTTCCAAGAGAAAATCCACCACCACCAGCAGCCGAGGTCGTTGCATCCGAATAACAATAGTCTGAGCATGAGGCTTCATTCGCAGGTCCATTACTAACATCGTTAGTCGAGTGACAGACTTATGTTCGCTTTCGCCAGGCTGGCCGTCTTTCTCGACATCGGGAATAGAGCCAAACATCATCCTCATCTCTGCATTCGTGCCAGGCCGGAGATCCACAACCGAGAGCTTTGGTAATGTGACATAAATATCGGTTTCCAGTGTTGATGCGAAACGATAACCAAGCCAAAAACTGTGCACCTAGTTTTAGAACCAATCGTCAGTATATGAAATCAAGGAAACGTTTTGTAGAATTACCTCGACACGAGCAAGAGGAGATTCACGTTCTATACCTTTGAATAGTTCCAGCTCTGCATATAACACATCTACTATAACCCAAACTTTGGTGAAGTATGTCTGAGAATCACGGAAATGTTCTTCGAGCTCCACTGATTTGAAATTTGGAGTTTCTTGGTCATCGGATTCGCTCGAAGTCGATTCTCGAAAGTTTGGCGGCAAGTCAGGTGGCTCGTTTATATTCGTTGAAGCACAATCAATAATGACCAGATATTCTCGGTCCGACATTACTCCGCACAAAGTTAGCACCTAGCAACCGCAAAGTAAGCAAGAAAGGCAAGCACAACGCCGGAATTTTACCTGGACATCAACTTGCACTTCAGGTACTTTCTGAAAAAGATCGCGCAAAGGACGCCTTATGGTCAAATGTAGACCTTGAGCTTCTTGTATCATGGGCTTCCCTGCTTTACCATCAATTCCGACCACCATGTTTACTCCTGAAATCTATGAGGAGGAGTGAATAGGATATATAAAAGAAAAAAATTCCTCATGCTTACATCCACGTCTAAAACATCGAGATGGACAGCAGAAACTACGTCCCGCGAGCCTCCATGCCATTCAAATGTGTTTGACAGCTTCAAATGGCCGAGATCAACCTCCATAAACCTGGTGACAAGAATGTTAGAGAAACAACAAGATTAACGGAAAAAATACGGACTCTTTGCTGCTGGAACTGCGAGGCATAATAATGATCGGTGTATCCATCGATAAATTAAGCCTCAAAGCGGGTGCTCCGTCCATATCAGCTTGCTGCATGATCTTTTCAGTACCACCAGCGGCGTCGAAAACTGTGATTATCTGTTGAGTTTGAGGGGAGGCTAGTGCATAGAAATAAGCAGCCACCTGAAGATGGGAAAAAGTAAGAACATCAAGCTAAAATATATTAGCAGCAAAGATACAAACCTCTTGTATAAATCTGTAAAGAAAAACTACTCGAACCGCAGAAAACTTTCCAACCAAACTATAGTCACAGCCTTCAAAGTCGTCATCGTCTCTGTTGAAGGATTGAAACTCTATCTATAAAAGAAATGTTATTTTACGACAGACAAGCTGCCCGAAGAAAGTACCTCGACAAGTGAACCGGAGTCAGGATTTCGAATGTCACAAAGCCAGCCCCATCGGTGTTCAGGGCCAAGCTTCATGTCACAGACCCGCAAGTTTCCCAGATTTCCTGAGATGGTGAAAGAACCAGGATATACCTGCATTCAACACATTAAGCCTCTCCAAGCTTATCAAGCACGCACCTTTAAGTCCATTTGAAACTTTTCTTGAGCCAACATAGCAAGTTGAGATCCGTCTTCCAGATTCAAGAAAATGCGAGTGCTCTCCATATCCATTTTGAGCCCAAACACAACCCGGGACTTTCCTCGTCCTAGTAATCCTTTAACAAGTTGTCTTTGCTCCACCTCCAGAGAAAGAGCAGCCTGTGATGGTGACTCTTCTGCCTCCATAATTTCACTGAGCTGCATTCCGAACTCGATCAACGCGACTATTGTTGGACGATTACAGAAAAAGTCTAAGGTGGCCATCTTCATAATCATCTGCAAAACATGAAGACTTTAGATAAGGAGAGCATACAAAACTACAGAAACGAATACCTGCGTATCAGTATCAACATATTCGGAAGACTCTGTTTCCCTCAGGACAAGTATCACCTTGACAAAATCAGATGCCTCTGAACCTTCAGCTTTTTCGGACAACTGATCCAAGCTCCCCCATATCTCAAGGAAGTTGGCCTGGTCAGGCTGCCAGCTTAGAACGAGCTTTACGGCCTCTTCAGAAAATCCTCCAAAATCAGGCTGAGCGTCTTTAAACTGTTCATCGTCATCTGGTTTCGGTGCTTCTGGTTCTTGTGGTTCTTCTGCTCCCACAAAAGTTTTGGACAAAACTGATCGAGCAACATACCGACAGGACTGAGAAACTGATCCCTGGAGCTTGTCCTCAATCTTTAAGGAATGTAGCTTCACTGCTATTTTCATGTCGTACGGCCGCTGCAGCAAATTCACCTGCAACAGTTTTTAAGTTCACATATCTAGAATCCTGTGTTGAGCCAAACTCACCTTACCACCTGATGCTTGGAGCTCTGCTATGACAATCTCGTCATTTCCCGGCTTACCAATCTATAAACGTTCATTAAGACCTACAAAACTAAAGGAGGAACCATACCTTTCCGGAAACAGAGATGCTTAACTCCTTTAGAGCGCCCGAAACAAATAAAGTGAGTTGTTTTGAAGAATCCAACACCTTTGTACTCGTCTCTTCGGGATTAGACAGAAGAGAAACTGATGCCTGAACAGTTAAATAGCTTCATGAAACCATGTAAAAGTGATATGAAAAACTTACGGACGAACGGTAAGTAGCAAGTGTAAGATACTTAAACCAAGACGCCTTTGATTCTGTACTTTTCAACTGGAGAACAACTGCGCTCGAAGATTCGATTACCTAGAGCAAGACATGAACTGTTTGAATTCCATCTCTAAAACAAGCATACCTTCTGCAAATCAATACCCCTGTTACAAACCGCAACCACGTTTTCTGAACCATCAATATATTCGGGAGGTATTTCAACTATTTGTTTGCCATTTAAGCTGTAAAACGCAAAAAAAGATTAAGACAAGAACTTTATACACCGCACGACTACTTGCCTACAATAACGTTGATATGTCTTTGAGTCTTCTGCCTCTAGAACGTACAGGTATGGCCCCGCCAATGTAATCCAACAAGGCTGCCATTCTGCAGTAATATTACCGATTCCCTGCAGAATGAGCGATGCTTAGACGCTGATGAACGAGGAAAGTAACAATTTACCCCCCACAGAAGCACTCGTGCATCTCCAGATGCCTCTGATGGTTGCCAAGATAAAGCGTTCGGCTGGGAGCTGGACCGGTCAGCCGACTCCAGAGCGTGCAGAAGATAGAGCAGCCTACGGTATCTTGCAGGAGAAAAATGGATACCAAGGCGAGGAACTTCAATTGCAATGCATGTTGAAGGCCAATTCAAATCTTCATATTGAGCCTGGAACATAAAGTCAATAACCACAAACTATGTCGTAACTAGCTTCACCATATGCAGCATAATCGACATCCCACAACGGTCAAGTACAGGAAAGATTGAATATGCGTTGTCACCAGCATCTGTGGCCAGCGCAGGAAAGTGAGCCCATTCGAAATCACCATCAACAAAGAAAGCCGATATATCCCGTCCAGATACATGAAGTTTAGAGTAGCGACTTCGTTTCGGAAACTCAACGTCGTCATTCCCCTGAAGAAGGATGTTGTAAGTTTTAGATGCATCTTATGCACGTACCAGTGTTCGAAGATTAAAATGTCCCAAGTCTACCAACAATTGGCTTTTCTTTCCAATTCCTTCATCTTTGAGTGCAGGAATTAAGACTTTTGGAGCGTCAAGATCAATATCTATAGAGAACCTGCATGCAAGAAAAAGTCAAGCCAAAAAGAGTAGCAAAAACTTTTGAATACCTTCTCTGTTTCTCTAGTTGAGATAGTATCTGTTCTTGAGCACGCCTCGTTACCTCTTCTAGCTTTGTCTGGCATGCATGCACTGTGAAATGAGTAACATATATTTTTGCTACGGAGCCTCATACCTGCAAAGCAACAGCAGTTTCCAAAGCCACTGCCGGGCTCATAGCTTGGCCAGATTTCATAAAGTGCATGACCCTGTCAAAACTGGATCTCCAAACCTGCACGCATTATGTAAGCTGTTATGAACTCTTTCAACACAAAACGTTACCGTCACATAGCATGATGACATCGTGACAGACAGCTTCCAATCCAAATGTTCTTCGAAAGGAACATACACAAACGTCAAATCCAACGCTTGTGCTCTTCCCTCTCTACTCACGCTCTGTCAAACCAGACAGATATTATCATCTTAAGACATGCAAATTCCATTCAGCTTACCGAAACGAGAGGCCCCTCTGGAGATGAAAGGCCATAGTACGTCAACTTAGTGTCGCAGAAGAACGTTTTCGGGAACAGCTTGAGAGAAACGTTTAAATTGGAGAAAGTCCCACATAATATGACCAAATCGGTGCTGTCTTTTATGCACGCCAAGCTCTGTTTTATGGTCACGTCGAGCATTGTTTGCAGCATGTTCTGTGGCTCTTGAGTAGAAAGCAGCGGATAGTCTTGGCCGGGTTGATAGCTTAGAAGCTCGTTAATCTTATTCCATTCTTCCTTTGTAAGTTGCGCTGGGGCCGCTTCCGTTTCAGGGCCTCGGGCAACTGAGGCCCTTGGACCAGCGCCGCTCCTGCATAGCAAGCGATTAATGTAAAACAAACGAAAACATATGCCACAATACCCGCCAAATGGCCACCAGGTGCTTTTCCTGGACTTTTCGCGGGCCGCGGCTGCCTCTTTTAACTTTGCCGTCTCAACTTTTGCATGGGCAAGCATTCTGCAGCCACCACTTCTCCATCAACTAACAGAAAGCATAAACAAACTACCGACCTCCAAAGTAGAATAACTTCTACGTCTAGCTCCCGGTCGATTTGCCTTATTTCAAAATTGTCAAACTTGCCCTGCTGGAGCCCGCTAACATAAAGATCCACATATTTCTTTCGTAACCCTGATGCTCGAGACAGATGTTCCCAAGAGAAGTTACACCTGCAAACATTTGCTTTAGCATACTCGGTTATTAATGAAAACGAACCTTGACTTTCTCTGCTGCTGCGTTACTGCACGACCAGCATAGCGCCACCATGCCTTAGCATCTACCAACACGGGTATCATAGGTCTGAAGAGAGAGAACTCCATTCGTATCCTGTACCGTGAAACACCCTCCAACAGTTGAATACCATCCCGATATTGATCCTAAAACAGAATGAAAGTTAACCCAAGTGTAGCATTTAGAGAAACCAACCTCAGACACAGCAATAGACACTTGATCCAAAACGAGAGAAGCCTTCTGAAAAGGTGTTTTAGAATCCCTTTTCTCTCTCTTTCCACACCGGTGATACTTCATCAGGCCAGCAACCGGATGAAGCAGGTACTTGTGTTGTATTTTCCCTTTAATACTCGGTTCAAACATCTGAAACCATAATAATTTTAAATGCTGTTTTCATTGAAGAAAACACAAACCTCGCTCCATTCTTTGGATGTCATCTCATCCCACCGTTTCTCCAGAGTCCACGGCCCAGTATCCGAGTCATGGTAGATAGAAAAACTATCCAGCTGGAGCGACTGCACAGCAAGCAGGAAAAAAGAAACTGAAGTACACGTTACGAAATTGATCAAAATACCTTGTGAAGCTTGTCAAGAGCTCCGCTAGTTACGAAGGTTTCTACATCATTCTCGTCGATGGTCACAGCGGCAAGTTTGGCTAAAGTAACGCCAAAACAAAATCGATGGGAGGGGTTGCTGAAAAATGAAGCCAGTATCAGTACCAGCATTTAGCTTGATAGAGATGAACGCGACCTGAGGGTGTCTTCGTAACGAATATGAAGATTAGTCACGGAGACTTTAAGATTGCCAATGATCGTCGCAACGAGCGAGCCTAACCAGGACTTACTTTCCGGCGACTGCAAAAAACAGAAAATTTAACACGAAACCTCAAACAGCATTTTGCGGCACATACCGCATCATCACCGGATCTTCCTGCCTTCGCATCAAGCAATGCCATCTCCAGCTCCTTAAGACACAAAAAGCGTTTGAGAATAAACTTGACAGGCAAGTATGTACTAACCTCAATCTGGCTCCGCTTAGCGTCAAGCCAGGATTCCATGTTCTCGTTCTGCAACCGCATTTCACGAAAGTTTCCGTAACGCTTGAAGCTAAAAACCAAATCTTACCTTGAAAAGCTGTTCATCTTCAACAGGCTCCGCCAAAACAAAAACCCGGTCGAGAAGTACAATCACCGGATCTTTTCCAAGCTTGTTCCAAGGAATCTAAGAAAAACGAAAGCATAAGAATCAAAGGTACACTTTTCTTGATCAATGCCTTGCCTTCAACGTGACAGACCCAAGGAATCCAGCTTTGACAGTGAGAGGAAGCCTCAGAGCATTCAGTGCTTCAGCCTTGAGCTGCAAGTCCTTGAGCACTACATCGCCTGTCCAAAAAACACCAAACTTTCAACACCTCGCGAGCAAAAAATCTAGCTCTCACCTTTCCACACACTGATCTGGAGCGCCTCCGCTGAGAGACCCCGCACATACTGGCCCAGGTATCTGCGAAGAAGATACAAGACCTGCAGAAACAAGAAATGGAGAAAATCGCGAGCTCAATCCAGTCCGCCAATGCAATCCATCTCTCCAATCCCCAAACTAGCGATCGATCACTCACATGAGCCTCAAACATGACGACACCGAGCGCCCAAGCGCATCACTCCTGCCGATCGCAGCGCCTAGCTAGCCCTAGGCAGCACAAAATTTTCTCCACAGCAAGCAAGTATATGTCAGTGAATATTCGCCATTGCGTGGCAATACGTCTAAAACCTAAGGTTTATATATATTAACGTTAGGGTTTAAGAGTGCAGCCTCTTTCTTCGCCATTGTCAAAGCTTCGGTTTCGTTATTCGCAGGGAGTTGAAGATTCCTAACCGTGGGAATTGAAATTTCGCCGATGCGGCTGCGATGACGTGCCCTGGCTCGCGGCGAAAATCTTGGCTCATTGGCCAAGTGGCCGAGCTTAAGGGGGATCTTGATTGGGAAGAATGGAATCTCTCACCAGAGTGATTTAGCAGGACGAGAAAATTTCCACCACCATCATCAAGCTACGGGATATGCCAACATTCCTTTCTCTAGTCAAGGCTGTGGTGTATATTTTTATGTGAGGAATAGATTTACATGTATAGGAAAAAAACTAGCACGAGGATCGAATTTCACCATGCCCTCCTGTGATTGGCGAGAGCTTGCCCATTTTGATCATGCCAGCGGCGAACGCGGTAAAGAACGTCTGCTGATTGGCCGCAAACTCCTTGACAAAGCCCACCAGATCACTCTGCAAGAGCTGCTGGTCTGAAAAGAGGAGCGACTGATTGGCCAGGAGAGCTCGAAAGTACAAGTTGTCGAAGGTGGTGGGGGATGGATCCAAATTGGTCAATCTGTCTGGGGCTGTTGGAGGGCAATTCTTCTCGAGTCGAGATTTGAAGGCCCGATCGATGCTATCTCCTGGGGTTCCATTGAAGAGGCGTGCGCTAAATGCAGAGCACTGGGCCTGGCCGATGGAGTGGCCTCCTGAAAGCGCTACGAGATCACGCTTGGAAAGACCCCGCCTTTGGAAGCTCTCGATGAGCTGCGTTGCAGTGAGGTTTGGGCTGGGAATGGCCTCCATTGCGGCGGCGACGGTCGCAGGACTGTCCCGTCGGCCAAATTCTACTGTCCATGAAGGGCCGCCCAGCTGCAAAGTCGAAAGAGAATGATCAACTCAAGCCGCGATGGAGATTCTCACTCACGGCTATGACGGATTCCCGGGCGCTCAGCGCAAGAATGTCCGCGCACGATACTGTTGCCGGGCATGAAGTCTCCACGGCGCGCTTGACGTTGTTGATGATTTTGAGTCCCTTGGCGGAGCGCCCATCTCCTCGCTGGAGGAGCAGCGATCCGTCGCAGCCCTGGCAGCCATAAATGAGTAACGCTATTTTAATTTCTGACTTACTCGAGAGAAGCAATCTCGGAAGTGGAGCTTGAGGATCGACGCAGCAGATCGACTGTCGTTGGAAAATTCAGAGTGAATCACACTTCTCACGATCTGAGGGAGATCGGGACAAGTGCTGGCATAGAAAGAAGTTGAGAGCTCCGATGACATTGTTGGTGATCCCTGGCGAAATGCATAGCGCCGCAGCAGTGCTAGCACCAGCAGTAATGCCGCAGAGGCGACTGGAGCCTGGAGTTTGGATCGCTGCATTTTGATCAGTTTCCACCTCCTTGCAAACGAAGTCTATTTATACAATTTTTCTCCTCTGTCCTCTCCTCCGTTGGATTAAACATAACGAGATTTAACGGCGGGTGCAGCTAACACGTATTGAGCTCTCGACTATATTATATTTTCCCACTCTTGTCTCGCTTGCCATAGGAGTTTATTTATACAATTTTTCTCCTCTGTCCTCTCCTCTGTTGGATTAGACATATCAAGATCTAACGGTGGGCATAGCTAGCACGTATTAAGCTCTCAACTATATTATATTTCCCCACTCTACTATGTTTTCTTGTCTCCTCTGCCATAGGCCTTTTCCTCTCTCCTTCGTTTTTAATATTTTTTATCCTCTTTAAAAGTCTTCCTCCTCTTTTTTTAATATTTTTTCTCTCTTCTTGGTAACTTCTTCCTCTCTTTTTATCTCTTTTTTTTAATATTTTTTTCCACTTTATATTTCTCCTATGTGCCCCTCTTTTTTTAAATATTTTTTCTCCTATGTATGAATGTTGTGCCCCTTCTGTTTCCTTGTGCCCCTTTCAACACATGCTAACCAAATGTAACATATTTTATTTAAGTCTACTGGAGAAAAGGCAATTATTTAATAAAAATAAATTTAATTCAAGGATCTATATACTATTATTCCCATTAATATAGACTTTTTTCATTTGTAAATCATCAAACTTGAAATAATCTCCCACTTGTCTCCCTCTCATGATCTTTCACTTGTGCTTCATCACTAACTACAATAAGTTGATCCTAATCTAAGTGAAGCAAGCACCATATATTTTCTAACTCCAAGGTAGCAAAAAAAATTTCACCAACCAATTAAAAAAGGGGAAATTATTTGATAATATAGCCTTTAACATATTTATCACTTGAAGACTCAAAATGTGTGTGTTGAGATGGGGAAAGTGTCTAAATGGATCCTCAAGGTTCCAAAGATTCATAATAATAATATATCCAAATCTTATCCCATAATTATATGAGTTATAAATTTAATGTTTAAATCAGTTTTCTATAGGCATTTTGGTGTTTTAGCTCCATCTTTTTAATCTCATTCTCTTTATTTAAATATAAGTTTTTTTAATGAGTCTATATCAAATTTTGTAGCCAGAGTTTGAGAGATTTCTATCAAATTATATTCACTTTGAGACATTTTGAGTGTTATAGCTTGTTTTCTTTGTTTTTTTTTCCATTGTTTTTAGGTGATATCCTATATCTATATTCTTTCATGATATCTTTCATATCTTTCTTCAATTTTATAGCTAAATTTCTCTTTTCTTTATGAGGAATTGAGATTTGCAAAAGGACAACAATCTTGGTTAGGGGAAATCCACAGTAGTTTGCTTATTTATTTGGAACTATCCCATTTTGGACATTTTATTCTCACACAAATTAAAATTCTTTAATGCATTTACTACATATTAGACACTTTATGCTAGTTCAAACTTGTTTAAGCCAGAGATGGCAGCTAGTAATCTTTCATATAATGCATAGGATATAGGGATGTTTTCACACCTTCTATGCAAGCTAGATTACCAAAATGCTCTTTCTAGCAAGAAAGAAGCATTGTTTACCATAGATACTAAGTGAAAGAGTCTACCATTGATGGTTCTCCCCATGCACATCCATATTTTATAGCAAGGCATTAACTTGCCATACTTATTTAGCAATGGTGACATCTTTGCCAAAACATATATCACTCACTTTGAACAATATTGTCCATCAAATAGCATTGGCAAGGATGATTACAAGCTTTACAACTTTTTGCAATCACTCATTGGCCAAGTAACATGGAAAAAAACTCTTTTGGAGGCAAACATAGTTAACTACTCCACATTCAAAGCATTTTTTCAAAATCACTTTGATCAATAATGACTAGCAAATCACTTACTCATAACCTTGTTCATTTTTCGACAAGAAGCATGTGAATCTAGACTAGAGTACGTCATGTGGTTCAGATTTTACTGGAAGAAGTGTGTCCAGTGCAAGTGCATCATAAATAAACCTCACAACATCACTGCACTCATCTCTGGCCACAAGGGAAATCTCCAATGCAAGATGCTTAAGCGAGAGTTTCAAATATGTCATGGGCCTTTCATTGCAGTAGAGACTCTAGAGTGTGATATTCTCCAAAAAAGCTTGGGATTTCCAGGGTAGAGGAGGCTTTCCTCCTGTCCTTTGAGGAGAGCTTATGCATTGATGTGGGCTGTTCTTTGAGTCTTATGCCTCTAGAACGTACAGGTATGGCCCTGCCAATGCAATCCAACAAGGCTGCCATTCTGCAGTAATATTACCAATTCCCTGCAGAATGAGTGATGCTTAGACGCTGATGGGCGAGGAAAGTAACAATTTAAGCACTCGTGCATCTCCAGCTGCCTCTGATGGTTGCCAAGATAAAGCGTTCGGCTGGGAGCTGGACCGGTCAGCCGACTCCAGAGCGTGCAGAAGATAGAGCAGCCTAAGGTATCTTGTAGGAGAAAAATGGATACCAAGGCGAGGAACTTCAATTGCAACGCATGTTGAAGGCCAATTCAAATCTTCATATTGAGCCTGGAACATAAAGTCAATAGCCACAAACTATGTCGTAACTAGCATCACCATATGTAGCATAATCGACATCCCACAACGGTCAAGTACAGGAAAGATTAAATATGCGTTGTCACAAGCATCTGTGGCCAGCGCAGGAAAGTGAGCCCATTCGAAATCACCATCAACAAAGAAAAGCCGATATATCCCGTCCAGATACATGAAGTTTAGTGTAGCGACTTCGTTTCAGGAACTCAACGTCGTCATTCCCCTGAAGAAGGATGTTGTAAGTTTTAGATGCATCTTATGCACGTACCAGTGTTCGAAGATTAAAATGTCCCAAGTCTACCAACAATTGGCTTTTCTTTCCAATTCCTTCATCTTTGAGTGCAGGAATTAAGACTTTTGGAGCGTCAAGATCAATATCTATAGAGAACCTGCATGCAAGAAAAAGTCAAGCCAAAAAGAGTAGCATAAACTTTTGAATACCTTCTCTGTTTCTCTAGTTGAGATAGTATCCGTTCTTGAGCACGCCTCGTTACCTCTTCTAGCTTTGTCTGGCATGCATGCACTGTGAAATGAGTAACATATATTTTTGCTACGGAGCCTCATACCTGCAAAGCGACAGCAGTTTCCAAAGCCACTGTCGGGCTCATAGCTTGGCCAGATTTCATAAAGTGCATGACCCTGTCAAAACTGGATCTCCAAACCTGCACGCATTATGTAAGCTGGGATGAACTCTTTCAACACAAAACGTTACCGTCACATAGCATGATGACATCGCGACAGACAGCTTCCAATCCAAATGTTCTTCGAAAGGAACATACACAAACGTCAAATCCAACGCTTGTGCTCTTCCCTCTCTACTCACGCTCTGTCAAACCAGACAGATATTATCATCTTAAGACATGCAAATTCCATTCAGCTTACCGAAACGAGAGGCCCCTCTGGAGATGAAAGGCCATAGTACGTCAACTTAGTGTCGCAGAAGAACGTTTTCGGGAACAGCTTGAGAGAAACGTTTAAATTGGAGAAAGTCCCACATAATATGACCAAATCGGTGCTGTCTTTTATGCACGCCAAGCTCTGTTTTATGGTCACGTCGAGCATTGTTTGCAGCATGTTCTGTGGCTCTTGAGTAGAAAGCAGCGGATAGTCTTGCCCCGGTTGATAGCTTAGAAGCTCGTTAATCTTATTCCATTCTTCCTTTGTAAGTTGCGCTGGGGCCGCTTCCGTTTCAGGGCCTTGGGCAACTGAGGCCCTTGGACCAGCGCCGCTCCTGCATAGCAAGCGATTAATGTAAAACAAATGAAAACATATGCCACAATACCCGCCAAATGGCCACCAGGTGCTTTTCCTGGACTTTTCCCGGGCCGCGGCTGCCTCTTTTAACTTTGCCGTCTCAACTTTTGCATGGGCAAGCATTCTGCAGCCACCACTTCTCCATCAACTAACAGAAAGCATACACAAACTACCGACCTCCAAAGTAGATTAACTTCTACGTCTAGCTCCCGGTCGATTTGCCTTATTTCAAAATTGTCAAACTTGCCCTGCTGGAGCCCGCTAACATAAAGATCCACATATTTCTTTCGTAATCCTGATGCTCGAGACAGATTTTCCCAAGAGAAGTTACACCTGCAAAAATTTGCTTTAGCATACTCGGTTAAATATCAAAACGAACCTTGACTTTCTCTGCTGCTGCGTTACTGCACGACCAGCATAGCGCCACCATGCCTTAGCATCTACCAACACGGGTATCATAGGTCTGAAGAGAGAGAACTCCATTCGTATCCTGTACCGTGAAACACCCTCCAACAGTTGAATACCATCCCGATATTGATCCTAAAACAGAATGAAAGTTAACCCAAGTGTAGCATTTAGAGAAACCAACCTCAGACACAGCAATAGACACTTGATCCAAAACGAGAGAAGCCTTCTGAAAAGGTGTTTTAGAATCCCTTTTCTCTCTCTTTCCACACCGGTGATACTTCATCAGGCCAGCAACCGGATGAAGCAGGTACTTGTGTTGTATTTTCCCTTTAATGCTCGGTTCAAACATCTGAAACCATAATAATGTAAAATGCTGTTTTCATTGAAGAAAACACAAACCTCGCTCCATTCTTTGGATGTCATCTCATCCCACCGTTTCTCCAGGGTCCACGGCCCAGTATCCGAGTCATGGTAGATAGAAAAACTATCCAGCTGGAGCGACTGCACAGCAAGCAGGAAAAAAGAAACTGAAGTACACGTTACAAAATTGATCAAAATACCTTGTGAAGCTTGTCAAGAGCTCCGCTAGTTACGAAGGTTTCTACATCATTCTCGTCGATGGTCACAGCGGCAAGTTTGGCTAAAGTAACGCCAAAACAAAATGGATGGGAGGGGTTGCGGAAAAATGAAGCCAGTATCAGTACCAGCATTTAACTTGATAGAGATGAACGCGACCTGAGGGTGTCTTCGTAACGAATATGAAGATTAGTCACGGAGACTTTAAGATTGCCAATGATCGTCGCAACGAGCGAGCCTAACCAGGACTTACTTTCCGGCGACTGCAAAAAACAGAAAATTTAACACGAAACCTCAAACAGCATTTTGCGGCACATACCGCATCATCACCGGATCTTCCTGCCTTCGCATCAAGCAATGCCATCTCCAGCTCCTTAAGACACAAAAAGCGTTTGAGAATAAACTTGACAGGCAAGTATGTACTAACCTCAATCTGGCTCCGCTTAGCGTCAAGCCAGGCTTCCATGTTCTCGTTCTGCAACCGCATTTCACGAAAGTTTCCGTAACGCTTGAAGCTAAAAACCAAATCTTACCTTGAAAAGCTGTTCATCTTCAACAGGCTCCGCCAAAACAAAAACCCGGTCGAGAAGTACAATCACCGGATCTCTTCCAAGCTTGTTCCAAGGAATCTAAGAAAAACGAAAGCATAAGAATCAAAGGTACACTTTTCTTGATCAATGCCTTGCCTTCAACGTGACAGACCCAAGGAATCCAGCTTTGACAGTGAGAGGAAGCCTCAGAGCATTCAGTGCTTCAGCCTTGAGCTGCAAGTCCTTGAGCACTACATCGCCTGTCCAAAAAACACCAAAATTTCAACACCCCCCGAGCAAAAGATCTAGCTCTCACCTTTCCACACACTGATCTGGAGCGCCTCCGCTGAGAGACCCCGCACATACTGGCCCAGGTATCTGCGAAGAAGATACAAGACCTGCAGAAACAAGAAATGGAGAAAATCGCGAGCTCAATCCAGTCCGCCAAATGCAATCCATGTCTCCAATCCCCAAACTAGCGATCGATCACTCACATGAGCCTCAAACATGACGACACCGAGCGCCCAAGCGCATCACTCCTACCGATCGCAGCGCCTAGCTAGCCCTAGGCAGCACAAAATTTTCTCCACAGCAAGCAAGTATATGCCAGTGAATATTCGCCATTGCGTGGCAATACGTCTAAAACCTAAGGTTTATATATATTAACGTTAGGGTTTAAGAGTGCAGCCTCTTTCTTCGCCATTGTCAAAGCTTCGGTTTCGTTATTCGCAGGGAGTTGAAGATTCCTAACCGTGGGAATTGAAATTTCGCCGATGCGGCTGCGATGACGTGCCCTGGCTCGCGGCGAAAATCTTGGCTCATTGGCCAAGTGGCCGAGCTTAAGGGGGATCTTGATTGGGAAGAATGGAATCTCTCACCAGAGTGATTTAGCAGGACGAGAAAATTTCCACCACCATCATCAAGCTACGGGATATGCCAACATTCCTTTCTCTAGTCAAGGCTGTGGTGTATATTTTTATGTGAGGAATAGATTTACATGTATAGGAAAAAAACTAGCACGAGGATCGAATTTCACCATGCCCTCCTGTGATTGGCGAGAGCTTTGCCCATTTTGATCATGCCAGCGGCGAACGCGGTAAAGAACGTCTGCTGATTGGCCGCAAACTCCTTGACAAAGCCCACCAGATCACTCTGCAAGAGCTGCTGGTCTGAAAAGAGGAGCGACTGATTGGCCAGGAGAGCTCGAAAGTACAAGTTGTCGAAGGTGGTGGGGGATGGATCCAAATTGGTCAATCTGTCTGGGGCTGTTGGAGGGCAATTCTTCTCGAGTCGAGATTTGAAGGCCCGATCGATGCTATCTCCTGGGGTTCCATTGAAGAGGCGTGCGCTAAATGCAGAGCACTGGGCCTGGCCGATGGAGTGGCCTCCTGAAAGCGCTACGAGATCACGCTTGGAAAGACCCCGCCTTTGGAAGCGCTCGATGAGCTGCGTTGCGGTGAGGTTTGGGCTGGGAATGGCCTCCATTGCGGCGGCGACGGTCGCGGGACTGTCCCGTCGGCCAAATTCTACTGTCCATGAAGGGCCGCCCAGCTGCAAAGTCGAAAGAGAATGATCAACTCAAGCCGCGATGGAGATTCTCACTCACGGCTATGACGGATTCACGGGCGCTCAGCGCAAGAATGTCCGCGCACGATACTGTTGCCGGGCATGAAGTCTCCACGGCGCGCTTGACGTTGTTGATGGTTTTGAGTCCCTTGGCGGAGCGCCCATCTCCTCGCTGGAGGAGCAGCGATCCGTCGCAGCCCTGGCAGCCATTAATGAGCAACGCTATTTTAATTTCTAACTTACTCCAGCGAAGCAATCTTGGAAGTGGAGCTTGAGGATTGATGCAGCAGATCGACTGTTGTTGGAAAATTCAGAGTGAATCACACTTCTCACGATCTGAGGGAGATCGGGACAAGTGCTAACATAGAAAGAAGTTGAGAGCTCTGATGACATTATTTGTGATCCTTGGTGAAATACATAGCGCCGCAGCAGTGCTAGCACTAGCAGTAATGCGGCAAAGGCGACTGGAGCTTGAAGTTTGAATCGCTGCATTTTGATCAGTAAAAATTTTCTTCCACCCGTCGCAAATGAAGTCTATTTATACAATTTTTCTCTTTTGTCTTCTCCTCTGTTGGATTGGAAATAACAAAATTCAATGACAGCTAGCATCTATTGAACTTTTGACTATATTATATTTCCCCACTCTACTATGTTTTCTTGTCTCCTCTGCCATAGACTTTTTCCTCTCTCCTTCGTTTTTAATATTTTTCATCCTCTTTAAAAGTCTTCCTCCTCCTTTTTTTAATATTTTTTCTCTTTTTGGTGACTTTTTCTTATCTTCTTTTCTCTTTTTTTAATATTTTTTTTCCATTTTATGTTTCTCTTCAGCATGAGTTTGACAGGGAAAACTTGGAGAGGTCGAAGGTTTTCCGCCCGTGAGATGAAACCAAGCTTTTGTCCGCATCCCCGTTGCTTGTCTAGCACGAATGGCGTGGCACGATACTCTTTGCCGCCTTCTCTTAAGTTCCTTACGCATGGAATGTTGTACCCTTTTCTTATAATTGTGATGTGCCTCTCGTTTTTTTTAATATTTTTTCTCCTATATGTAAATATTATGCCACTTCGGTTTCCTCATTTTTGTGAATGTGCCGCTTTCTTAGGAATTAAACCCATCCTACCCAAATGTAACATATTTTATTTAAGTCAACTGGAGAAAAGGTAATTACTTAATAAAAATAAATTTAATAGCTATTTATCTCAAGGATCTATAATGATAGTTATCTAAATCTCATCCTATAATCACATCCTAATTAACCAACTATATACTATTGTTCCCATTAATATAGACTTTTTTCATTTGTAAATCATCAAATTTTTTATCTAGGCTTAAAATAATCTCCCACTTATTTCCTTCTCATGATTTTTCACTTGTGTTTCATCACTAACTACAACAAGTTAATCCTAATCTAAGTGAAGCAAGCACCATATATTTTCCTACTCCAAAGTAGCAAAAAAAATTTCACCAACCAATTGAAAAAGGGGAAATTATATGATAATATAGCCTTTAACATATTTATCACTCCACAGTTGAAAACTCAAAATGTCATTGGAAAATTCAAAGCGAATCACACTTCTCACGATTTGAGGGAGATCGGGACAAGTGCTAGCATAAAAAGACGTTGAGAACTCCGATGACATCGTTGGTGATCCCTGGCGAAATGCATAACGCCGCAGCAGTGTGTAAGCCACAAATTTTTCCTTTCCAATTTGCCAGCTTACCTCGTCTATCCGACCAACACTGCCTTGGCTTGTGCTAAGGTCCCTCGCCAAGGTTCTCGCCTATGGTACCAGCTCCTACTTGGTCCTACTTGGTTTTAGCTACTCACTACACGAGCAACGAAGTGTTAGCCATCCATCTACGGATTCCCAAATCTCTCCGAATCCCCCTCCCCGGGTTAGACTGGACTTAAGGTTCGGTTACACTCCCCGCAGGCACAAGCAGCCAAGCACACCAAGCCTCCAGATTCCTAACACCCCTTGGTACCACAAGACTTGATCATGGGACCCTCTAAATCCCAAGCCTTGGGTGCAGCACTTGCTTCGGGACGTCAGGGAGAAACACCGTGGCCTAACGGCCCGGTATGGGTACCTCTACCCCCGCACTTCCATCCCGAAGGGAAGGCCCAAGCCCCTAGGAAGGGCGAGGACCAATGAGCCACAAGGTACTCAAGTGGGGCACCACTCCACATGAGCCGGGAGCACTGCAGTCGGTTTCCCTTTCGGGAGTGGGAGCTGCTCTTGAGCACTTCCTTGGTTGGCCCCTCTGGCACCACTCAAGCCCATGCTCACTCCCACCCAAGGCCCCTCGGCCTCAGTCTCAACCTCAAGTCGGTTTGGAAGCCCCACTAGAGAGTTCCTTCAAGACTGGTTCTTGGACCTCACTATCCCTACTATACTTTTGGAACCCCTTGCAGCCCCCCCCCCCCTGGGAGATGCATGCTTTGGGCTTTCACCCCTTGAGCTGTATTAGTATTTGGACTTAGTCTCAGAATCGATCTCAGACTCGATCTCGGACTCGACTTCGGACTCGGTCTCGGACTCGATTTCAGACTTGATCTCGGACCCAATCTCGGACTCGACTTCAGACTCGACCTCGAACTCGGTCTCGGACCCGATTTGGATCTCGGACTCTGTCTCGAACTCAGTCTCGAACTCAGTCTTCGATTCGGTCTCGGACTCGATCCCGGACTCTATCTCGACTCAGTCTCAGAGTCGGTCTTGGACTCAATCTTCGACTCGGTCCCATCCGATGAACTCTTTGTCATTTCGGTCATGCTTTCGGGGATCCTTTAGCCTACGATATCTCGGGGAGTCGGTTCCTTACAACTCCACCACCCATAAAAGAAGTTCGATGCCCACATCGAACGTCTCTTTTTTATCTTATGACTTGTTGACCATGTCTCCGGGGGCATCCCCCCACTTAGCGGTGTGCCTAAGTTAGCCTCCCTGGCCAAGAGCCATGACAACGGAGTATAGGTGTCCCTACACTCCTCACCTCACCACGCCCTAGTATAGGGTCGGGACTTGAACCCAGCCTTGCTTTACTAGGGGG